GGAGTAGCCAATTTGTTATGTACTTTACCACCTCCAAGCTACGTGTATGAAGGAGGGTTCCACAAGAATTTCCACATTTGAATGTTATTTTCAGGCTGTCTTTTGTTGGCCTGTGAATACAGCTGCCTCTCATCGCTACCCTTCGTTGAGAACTCTTCGTCTCTCCCGAAACGAGCAATGAGGGCGACTGTAATCGCAGGCCAGGCTGTTATATTCACCTCTTCCTTTTGCTCAAGCAGTTCCGCATTTTCAGTTCTTAATGTCTACAAAATATAATACGTACATTGTAATTAAAACATTCTTACTGGTAAGTAAGAAATATTACATTAGGTAGTGAATACTATAATAACAATGACTGGTTCAGAAAATCTCCAGTTAAGCTCAAAATTTGACAGTAACTTTGAAAATAACGTTTAGCCCTTTGTGTTGTACAACCTTCGCAGGCATAGCGACCACCAGATTTTAGCGGTCTAAGAATTATGTTCATACCTCTTGCACAATTCGGTGTTCCAATTCTTTTTCATTCAACTGGGCTTGCAACTGAAAAACAAGACGGATACATTATGACATTATTTCATAGCTTTATTAATCAGGAAATAACCATCTCTAAAACAAAATAACTTCTTGTTTATCCGAGCCACGTGCATGAAAGAGAATTCCACTAGTCGGTGAGGTTTTTTTTCACAATTGAATATTATTCTTGGGCCGCTGATTAAAACTTGCATGGAACGTTTAATTCTACAACTATCATTCCCTACTGCGTCAGTGAAACTGGTGGAAATATCCACTCATATTAACCACAAATTCAGGTGAACCGCTTAGTGCAATACAGACTGCGAGCAGTCTCTTATTTCTCATTAAATTGCATAATTTCATTTTGTCGCTCGTCACGTGTGGCTCTGAGGAAAGAAGGACGACCGCTCGCGGTCTTAGACAAGTGCAATACTAACAGAGCGAATCGATCAGTATCAACAAATTTACATTGCTAAGTGTCTTTATTCTTACAAAGACGATTCACCCGAGAAATCAGTGGGAAAAACTGTTGCCCAGGCTACCTGCGGTCCGCACGTCCCTTAAAGACGCCTTTGCTTAAGTATGGTGACCAAGAACTGCCAATCGAAAAATCTGAATTTTGGAGGGATATTTTTCTATTTTTCACTTTTATGTGTAACTTTTTTTTTTAAAATTAAAAGACAAGTGAAAGTAAAATCAAGTAAAATTAGGAAATCCCTCCCAAAAAATCAATTCAAACAAAATCAGCTTGGTTCTCTCCTTTGCTCCGAGAGGTTTTTCTCCGGGTACACCGGTTTTCCCCTCTCCTTAAAAACCAGCACTTCCAAATTCCAATTCGATCTGGAACGCACGGACACGTCTCAACGAGTTCTTATGAACTCCTTAGTGATCCGTGGGTAAACAAATTACAATTTACAATTTTTTTCAATTTTACAATCAAAATTAATTTTCTATAAATACGGCCGCCTCTCATCACTTTCCGCAGTCAAAAACGTTTCGCGAGAGAGACAAAAACTCGAACATATTTTAATCTGGAATCCTATGACTACGGTCGCACCTCCCGTAAGCGACACCCCAAAAGCGAAGATTTAATGGTCGCTTAGGAGAATCGAACAACAGGTTGTCTTTTCCAAGTAGAGGTCCCGACGCTTCGACCTTTTACAAAACAACTTATTGTACGCAATTTCCTAGTTACGATATGTGCAGTTCCATCTCGTCACTTAAAGGTCTTCGTATACTCTGCGAAGCATAGTACAAACAGCGAACTTAGAGATCAGACGATGCGTCAAGCGGTCGCTTACAATAGGTGGAAAAACATGGAAAATTGTACAACCGTCACCACAACAAGTGGAGGTTTTAATTACATGGTTTTGACTGGGAAACTTTTGGTATTTTGGAAAGGTCAGCACTCGTTAACATCCCCCGAAAGGCCCTTTCTCCCCTTATGATTTTTACACAGTCAAGGTAGAACTGTTTTCTGCTTTTATATCACACTTAGAAGATATTTCAAGCTGGAACATAGCATCAACCCCAACCTAACAAAAGAACCTAACCAGCTTCGAAACAGTGATTAACCCTAATCAGTAAAGGCAGCGCTTAACCCTAATCTGTAAAACGCAGTGCTTAACCCTAATCCAAAACGTTGTGTAAACTTCATAAGGTGTCCAAGGGCATTTCGACAGATGTTAAAAAGTGCTGATCTTTCGGATAGGTAGTCGCTTATGGAGGTTCGACTGTATCAGATTTGCGGTAAATATTGCTTTCCGTCATCATGTCCCGTTCGCGAAACGTCCCGGCGGCAGAAAGAAATGAGAGGCTGTTGTATTTACCTCTTGAGTATGCACAAGAAGTTCTGCCTTTCCAGTTCTTAATCTCTAGAAAATATAACACGTACAACAAAATTTTTAAAACATTTTTTTTTCGCATTATGTATTGCACACTGTAATACCTGTATGACTGTTTGGGAAATTCTCCAGTTAAATTTAAAAATTTGATACATGACTATACATAACATGTTCAGAGAAAAACATATAGCATGTTTGTTATGGTTTGAGATGCACAAATGTATGTGTAGATCTATGTTATGTTACTGATTACTGTGTCAAACCAATGATCTGGAGCTTTTATTAGTTTGACAGTAATCTTTTACCTCTACTTCCTGTCTTAAAGCACGGTTTTCACGACAGAGTGCTCTGTGTTGGTCCTTCAGTATCCTGAGCTCCTATCAAAGCAGGGAATGACACACAACAACAGTATTACTTAAAAAGAGTAAGACTATAAATGGTTGTTACTCCTGTAAATATATAATTGGCATAACCAGGCATCAAAAGGACGCCTAAAATACGTGCAATTCCACAACTGCTTTCGGCTCTAACCCTTACGAGTTTCTGGACATAGCAAATATGGATATAAACTTAATGAACATTCTGATTCAATATATAGAGGATATTACATGGCCGCGCGGCGAACGAGTGAAATATTTTCAACATGAGAAGAAAAATTTCTATTAACTATACAAATACCAAACCATCTCACTTTTACAGTGTTTTTGCTGCGAAAGGCGCGATTTATTATGTAGTCATAGCAACGGTGATCTTTTCACACGTGTATGTTATTTTCACGTGTGAAGATATCGTGTTTTCGCGCGAGAGCTCACTTGGTATTGGTGTTTATATAATAATAAGTATTCTGTGCATGTTTGCTTACATTACTCACACTTTAACCTAGAGTAAACAAAATGCTTGAATCTGATTGGTTCTATAAACGCCCATAATATTCATTGTTCAATTTGGCTATTGCAACAACAAAATTGTCCAATTACCACTCGCTAGATAAACTTGTTTGATGGAAAACAAAAAATTAAAAATTTTTCCCACTAAAAAAATGTACAGTAAGACAGCCAGTAAAATCAACCACCCAAAAATATAATTATCAACAAGCCAAAGAAATTTAACTGCCGGTGTCTTTTAATAACCGTAGCTAGTAGACTAGTTACCGGTATGTATTAGCCAATCTAAATCACGAAAAAATATTGAGTGCCTTTCATTCAGATATTTTTCATTTCCTTTTCCTATTAATATATAAAAAGCCTTAAAACTAAAGAAAGTTTCTGAGGTTTTACGGTGCGACAAACCCAGCGAGCTGTCCTCCCAGAAACAAAGATGGAGACAAACAACTTACCAGCAACAGACAAGTCCAGGTTTCCCCTCAGTTCCGATGAGCTTTTAAAAGAAACACTCAAAAAAGCAGAAAACAATAACACACAAAGAAGCACACGCAACGTGGATGGGAATTCAGTGTTCTTAGGCAAAGTCACACAAGATGCTAGCGTGGAAACCACCAAGTTCCCTCATTCGGACGAAGTCCTGCCACAATCTGAGAGTGAGATACCATTAGGTAGCTCCAAACAAGAACCAGTCACTTAAGCATATGAAGGGATGGTACTTTACACAAAGAGAGAGAATCACGCCCAGCTATACAACTTAGCTGAAGATTCATTCTGGTCCAGTGGCCTGTTGGGTTATCACAGTGGAGTGCCTCTCGCAATGTTAACTTAAAAATCATGTCCAAGAACTAATTAAAAGTTTGAGGCCACAAAGACCACCGCGACTCTTACCTGAATCCAGATCGAGACAAGAAAAAATGGCAAAATATGCGTGGTTTAATAAGATCGCAACAAAGACTTGCACTGATGGCTTCATGACGATTCCAACTATTGGAAAATACCTTAAGAGATGTGAGCCATGGATGGCAATTCAAAGAATATCGTAGAATGCATCATTTGGAAATATATATATATATATATATAAACGGTAAAGCGACCACATTTTACGTCGATAACTCGTGACAGTAAATAACTGATAAACTTCAGGTCGACGGTGCGCTAACATTTTTGTTACGGTTATGAATACATTTTTAACAGAACTTCACGTCGTCCGATTCGGTCTGGAACAAATAAAACTTCTGCAAAGCAAAGCGGTCTTCTCCTTCTGTGTACTAACACGTATAGTGCATGTATGCGTGATTACATTCCTTTGTATATGTAATGATACGACTTGGAAGTAATATATCAAACATGAGATGCAGTGTTTCATCACCAGATGAAACACCGAGAAGAGAGTTGAAAATACGACGCGCAGCGGAGTATTTTTGACGAACTTCGAGGTGTTTCATCTGGTGATGAAAAAAATCATTTTTGAAGGAGAAATTAAGGATGCAAATACTAAGCAGTGTTTCATCCGATTTCCAAACACTCATTAAACATTAATTTCCTTTGTATTTTCTTAATGAATTATTAATGAGTTTGAGAATTCAATTTGAAATTTTATATTTGCACATATTTATCTGCACGAGTATATCAAAATTACGTGCTCATGCAATTTGAGCTTTTTGAAAAACACACGAGTACAAATAAATTCCAAATTGAGTCGTACGATTACCGTTTAATAATATACACAAAAAAATTTACCTTCCTGGCTTTGTTTCGACACTTTCCACAGCCGGCTAAACTAAGAGGTAGTTGTTTGAATTAACCATCCAAACGCTTTGGTCGTCCCCTTGTTTGTTTTTATTAAAAAATCTCCGCGCAAAAAAACGCTTGAGCGGTTTGTTGAGGTCGGCAGGCGCGTAACTCTCAATTTGCTTGGAAATTCCCTCCTCTTTTTTCTATTTCTGCCAAACATTACCTCAAAATGAGGTCCTCTTGACAGCGTTTTTGTTTAAGAAGTTTTTTTAATCCTTCCATGGCATTTCCCGGCCATTTTTTTACTTGCAAACTTCAAGGTAGCCGCCAGCAGATTGCTGCAACTGATTGCTTTTTATGATTATTGTTTATTGACCAATCACAGTTTCCATTCTCTGAAAAAAATTTTTTATTCCTTTTTTTGCGCTATGTTTGCTCGTTTTTTTGCATCATGTTTATCAAAAACTGCACTTCACTCAGTCAATCAGATTCAGGATTTTTTTCATGTATATTACTGGACCCTACTCAGCATGCTAAGTGCGATTACCACAAATCACTGCTTTTAATAGCCAATGAGATTCAAGAATTTTGTAATAGGTTAAATTCGTGAATGATTTTAACTTTTTACAATCATGTAAAACAATTTTTACCTGCAACAAATATGCTTCATTGTGAAGTAAAATATCAATTTCCTGAAAAGGGTTTGGAAAGGGACCAAGGTTAATTCTTACTTTCAGATAAATTATTTCATTATGAAAAGGGTTTGGCGATAACTTAAAACTGAAAGCCTGAATACCGTAAAATTCCGAAAATAAGCCCCGGGGCTTATATTTTTCAAAGGCCCTTTTCGAGGGGCTTATTTTTGGAGGGGCTTATCTACGGAGGGAAATTTGCGTTCCAAAATCGATTGGACTAGCCTTATAGTTTAAAGTAAATTTGCCGTTTTTTTTTGTTTTACTTTGTATTTGAGGGCAATTTTCCAAGTACAAGCCTCCGGGGGCTTATATTTGGAGGGGCGATTTAACGGCGGGTTTTTTGCGTTACCGGTTTGGGGGGCTTATATTTGGAGGGGCTCAACTTTTCTTCAACCAATATTATGGCCCTTTTTGTAACGCAAACCAAATCAAACAACTTTATGAAGTTCAAAAATAAGATCTGGCTAATTAGACTATTTCCAGTGAACCAAACTGATTGAACGATGATGATGATGATGTGTGTGTGTGTGCGTGTGTGTGTTTGGGCACCTAGAGCGATTTTACTTGAACCAACATGAAACAGTTAGGGACGGACAACGGACCATTACAAAACTTATGGGGGGGGGGGGGGGCGAAGTACCAAAAAAATTTTCGCGCAAGCGAAAATTAAACAACTAGGGCAAAATAGCTACAAAAAAACAAAATAAGAAAATAGAATCAGTGCAAAACAGTGCGCAATATACTACTACCTATTTCACAGGTTGAGTAAAATCACTCTAACGTCTATACTACTTATTAGCTAAGATTGAGGTGAGTCACTCATTACAGGGAAATCTCAGACCGAGGCAAGTCTTAGGTCTGAGATTTTCCTGTAATGACCAAACGGACGAAGTTAATAAGTTATTTTTCATGTGACCTTTTTATCGCTATTCTTAAAATGAATACAATAGAAATACCAGAATTAATTTTCAACATCTGCGCATAAGAGGTCATTCGAGGTCGTGAACCGAAATGAACCTGGCAATGCGATCGAAACCAGAAGACACAGTTTCTTTGACGATGACAAATTTTGAACCTCAGCCCGCGATTAATCAAAAACCAATATCTGGTCAGCATCACCTCAATAAGGGTTAATTCACGTTAAGTAAGTACATAATGATTCATTTTTTATTTATCACTCACAAAAATTTCACCTAAACTTGCAATATTTACCTCTGTCATAAATGTCTCATACAGATGAAGGCTCTCATTCTCCTAAAATAAAGAACAATTTAAGTGATGAAAGCTATTGATTTAACACTATTGACTAGTGTTACAAATAATCTCTCTCACTACATCACAAAATCCATTTGAACAGGACAGACCAAACTGATTGGACATTTTGTACATGTAAAGAACAAAAACACTAGGAAATCATTTCCACAAAGGAGGATCTCAAGAACAAAAGAGTTATCCAGTAACAAAAGTTAATTATACGTATAAGATTTAAAGACTTGACTTCATATATTCATTTAACCCACTTCTTAATATTTAGTAATAGAGCGATTTTCGTGTGACCTTGAAATGAAAATGGCGAACAAAACAGGAACAACATAAGAACGGAAGTAAAGCGACTTGATTGGTTTATTGAACGGATACAAACGCGCAGGGCTTTTGGTTGGTTAAGCGAACGCTCGGGTGAGAAAACTCCATGTAATGCCCGAGAACTTTCTAGAAATCAATGGATACTTCGCTTTGGCATCATACTGCAACATGATTGGTCAATCGAACAATGCCTTCTCCATGTTAGGGTCTTCTTTGGCGGGAAAAGGAAGAGTCCATGTTTTGATCTTTTCATCCATTGGCTTATAACAAACACTTACAGAAACCATTTTTCAAGGTCATATGAAAATCGCTCTATTGCGGGTAATGAACTATACTATGCAAAATAAGCTTCATTCTTTATAGTGGTTTATGCACCTTTAAAAGTAAATCTATTTCTGGTGCTCTAATTAAACTTGTGCAAAATGGCATAACAATATCATACCTTAATCATTTTTTCCAATAAACCAACATCTCCTACAATATCATCGTGCTCAGCTGGAATTCTGCTTTGCTGGCTATTCAAATTTACACTACTGCTGCTACAAGCAACAAAATCCACTGAGGAAGTTAGTAATGGCCCCCCAGTAACAAGTAAAGCAGCATTGGTGGATACATGGCCATCTTCCTTTTTCTCTTGACACGCCATGAGGGTGCTGCAATCTTGTTCTTCGAAGCAAGATTGCTTCATATTAGCTGCGATATCATTATGAGGTGTTTCCGTTTCTCCACTTACAGTTCCACTGGCACTCCCCTCCGGTGGTGATGGGACCATTTCATCAGTTGTTGGACTTTCATTGAGTGTGCTATTATCCGCTAGACAAGAAAAACTATCTTCTCTTTTTGCGGTTGAGACCGCAGCGGATCGAGACTGTTCACCATAATGTTGGTCATCATATATAGATAATCGTTTTTCCCTCTGATGTCCTTCTGGTGGAGGTAAGCTCCATTCCGGGCACTTACTGCCCATTTGTGAAAACAGTGGTGGGCTTGTCAGTCCTCTTGTACGGGCATTCTTTTGTCGGGGGATGGTACTTTCAAATTCTGACTTAGATTTTAAGACTTTATCTGCAAGTAAGTATAAAATCAAGGAGTGAAACTTTTAATGGTTCAACTTTAAATGAATATTTCAACTTTAAACTTTTGACGTCAACTTTTTTTTTCAAGTTAAAATCAAAATCAAAATCTTGTAAGTGTAAAGATCATTACAAATTGTTGGGCTTTAGGAAAATTAATTATTTCTTTATCGCATCTCAAATATTAGTACATTCATTATCTTAAGTTTAATTTGGCGAGTTGTACATGCATGAAGTTTACAATACCTTTTATTTCTGTTTTTCGTTGTTTAAGCCTAAGCACATAATTATTATTGACCTCCTGAAACTGATATATGAAAATAAGTATGATGTACTAGAATGGATGGTAAAAATGTAGAGCATGACATAATTTTATATTATTTTAAGGCAACTTCATTTGAAAGCCTTTAAAGGTTTGAAACAGTTAAATCAGCTTGATTTTGGGATACAACAAGTTTTTGTTACAATGTGCAATAAAATTATTTGTAATAATATTATATTAATACACACTGTTCTAGTTTTATTAAGCATAAAACCAAAATGACTTCACACTTCACTTGACACACTTGACAGTACTTTGTTTAAAATCACTCCAGATTTGACTGATGTCAATACACGTAATCTTTAACCAATGAAAAAACGAAAAAGGAACTTGTCATCTTTAAAATAATTGTGACCTAAAACATTAATTGCAATAAATGTCATGTAACAAATAGTCAAGAGACATTTTATTATTAGAACATTACCCCTCACAGACTGAAGCTTTCTATGTCACACATTTATTTTGTCTTTTTGTTTTTATTATTACTGTTCTTACCGTTGTAATATTATCATTAATATTACTATCATTAACATTAATATTATTATCAAAATCAAATCAGCATTAGATCAGGCATAGATGTACTTCATTTAAATCATACTTCTGACTCTTTTTTTCATCTTCACATTCTATAACCTTATCTACATGTAAGTCATGAATACATTTACCGTTATAATCTTCGGAGGAATTCTTAGTCAAGGGTCTTTCTACAAGAAGTGATGAGCTCGGTGAATAGGCAGCTGATTTTGTTTTTTTGTCAAAGGTATCAATTTCTGCATCAACAGAGGCACTTAAAGCTGCAAATGGACCAGAGGATGTGTCATCATGACTAAGACTGCCAAACTGTGGATTAGTCTTCGGTTTTGCACCTGGATCTTTCTTATTTAGAGTACTGGAAGATCCTGCTGCACCTAAACAGAGTGAAATCACTTCAAATTAAACATGAACCTGCTGTTTTTGCTAGCTAAGGTTGATCATGCAGCTGCAGTCCCCCTATTTTTCAATGAAAGGATATTTTACGTAATTGATGAATACTCTAGTTTTATAATGGCTGCAGTAATTACAGCTCTATTACTGTACCCCTGAGTCTTAAATTAATTAATTTCGTCGTCAAGAACGTAAAGGAGGAGATGTTTTGACTAATGGTAAGTTGATGTGTGTTAATGTTTCCATTTGGCTCTTGTTTACTAATGACTACATGGCATTTCAGGAACATGAATAAAATGACTTAACATGTAAGTGAACAGGAGGGTTATAGGCGAAACGACTTAAATGGCAAAACAAATGTAAAACCATAACATTTTTAGGCACCAGCACGAATATTTAAACTGGTATGTGGTCAGTTGGTTCTTCCTTCTTTGCTGAGTATAGTAAATTCTATTTTGTGGCAAAATTAAAAATCACTTTTGTCCATTATTGATAAACCATCTAAAATAGCAAACTGATGCCATGCTATTTGTTGCCGTGTTCATGAGTATGCAGCTAGCTGGCTATTTGAAAGAGTTCAAGCTAAAACAGGGGGAAACTATAACTTATTTTTTTAATTCTGATCTATTTACCGTATTTCCTCAAATAATAGCCGTCCCTCGATTAATCACTTCCCTTTGATGGAAACATTTGAAATACTCGCCTTCCGCGCATAAAAGCCCCCCCCCCCCTCGCCATCTTCTCGTTCTTTTATCCCCTCCCTGTCAAGTTGAAGGGGAATTATCTGATTCAGCAAAACTGATCACTGACGATTCAAGCTCTGAAAATTAATCAAGGAAAACTTTAAAAGTCCATATTCATAGTTTATTTGATGCGCTATTTTTTTGTGCATACTAGTACACAGAAAACCGGCATCACAGGAATGTTGAAACGTTCGTGGGGGAGGACAGATTGCGTGACGAACCCCTAAGAACGTCTGCGTAGGAGGCTAGAATGTTGACAGATTTTTTAGTCTGCAGGGTCCTCTTCTCTCCCACAATTAAAATTAATATCATTCTTTTATTTTCTTCACTTTTCACCCTTTATTACAAGCAGCACTTGACAAACACTGTAGGCGTGGCTGAGATAGCATGTAGGTTATTGATGTAGTGCCAAAACAGCAGCAACAGGAATCCGACTTTGAATTTGGTAAAGTGTTCAGAGTTTGACATTCAAACGTAACTTGCTATCTCCTATCGATCGGTCCCCTTCCTCCCAAGACTTTGAACAGAGCTTCTATTTTACACTTTACTTGACCGTAAGGCATGCTAGATTTTACAAGCTTCTTGAGCCTCTAGGCTTCTGGTTGTTAGCAGAGCACAGCACAGGGCATTAAATATTAAAAAAAGTAAGATACACGTGATTCAAAAGAAAACATCTAAAGGCACAGCTATATACCCTGCCAGTACCCTGTGCTTCATACACTTTTAACTTTCTTGCAAGTGGTAAACTGTAAAATGTCCCACAAGTGACTTGATTTTAATTATTAAAAACTATAATGAAATGTACATGTAATGCACTACTTAAGCAACTGCCATAGGATCATTCTTTAGACTGAACTCAAGTATTATGCTGAAACTATTTTATCCCATTTAACCCAGTCAACATATGTCATGTACAATTGAGGTATTGATAAATGTTAATACAATTGTAGCGGGTACATTGTACATAATTACAATCAGTCATAACAACATTAACAAGTAATTAATGCAAGTTCTTTACCTAAAATTGATCAACAATAGACTTAATGACTCACCACTACTCAAGGCATCTAATTCATCATTTTTTTTCTCCATGCTAGTCTGCAGATTGGCCACAGCTAAATCAGCAGTACCTACATGTACATTGTACAGCCAGAAAATCAATTTGATTTATACTTTAACTCACTAAATATTAGGATGGTGAGTAATATGCATGCATGTATTCCTGGATAACTGTCAATGCATGTACATACATGTACTGGTCAAAATTATAGTCAGGTTAAATGTGGGAAAGACCTTCAAGTAATAAATTCAATAAAAACAAGAACGTGCTTAGAGCGGCATTCAGTCTTGTTTGCTTGGAGATTAGATCGAGAAATGAGGAGGTGATTAATTCTACACAAAACAGGATTTACTCGCTAAAGGTTTTTTACTTCCTACTTCATTAATGTCGATACTTTTTACTTCTTTCTGAATTGATTTAGTACACGTGTTAGAAATGGGTTGTTCCAGAAAAAATCCACACCCCCCCGACGGATGGGATTCTGGAAATTCTCGCGGGAGGGGGGCTTGAAGACTCCGGAAATCCAGGGGGAGGGGGGGTTGACCTTAAAAAAGTCTTCTGCAGGGGTCATTTCGACCGATAGTTGATACAAATCAAACGTTTAGTTCGATGACACTTAAGCGCTTTCAGACCCTGAAAATAGTCAAAATGTTTTGTTCATATATTTCTCACCTGACATAAATGATAATCTAAGTTGCTTTACAGGTCCTTTTATAGCAGAAAACGCGAACAAGATACTAAAGAACGGGCCTGAAGGAACTCGTCGCAACGTTGTTGTCACGAAGAGCGTCAAACGCCTGACACATTTCTACTCGTACCCAGAGCCCGCGCGCGAAGTGCTGGTGTACAAAATTGCGTTAACTTTTGCGAGGTTCGACAAGGTTATGCTAAATTGAAGTAAGTTTAGAAGAATATCGTTGAATTCGTTACAGAGAGGTTCGTTATAAAATAGAGGTTCCGCTGTGTTTACTTACTGGTCAGAGAATTCTCAGTTAGGTTGTAAATTCCGCATTTCCTATTTAGTCTAGTTCAAAACACCATTACAACTTGTTTTTTTGAGATTTTTTAAAGCCTTATGAAAAAATGTCCCCAAAAATTAATAGTTTTTTTGAGAGAACAAAACAAACAGGCGCCAAATCTGCAAGAGCCTGGTGAAGAATTTGTTCATAGCGGACTTTGTATTTGGATGAATCTGAAAGCCATCTTAATCCGGTTTTAAAATAATTCGTTGGATGAACATGTTAAAATTTCATTTCGTGAATGGGAGCTATTTCAAGTGCTTTTGTCTTGGCTGCATTCTCTTCAGCATGACTGTTGCCTCTCCGATTTAAACGAAAGCGAAACGACCTTTGTAACTATGGCGGACTAAGAAAGCTGTTTATAACGCGAATTTGAACTTCCCTTCCAGTGCACAGTAGAACTACAGATCTTGAAGGTAGGATGTGCAAATGAAGTCATCCATTCTTTAAGTTAGAAAATAATTGTAACGATTAACAAATGTAGACTTTCGTTCTTTGAAAGATTTCGTTGATTTACAACAGTTACAAAATCTCGATCTTCAGTGGACGAGACTGACACGCATGCTGCCGGCTGCCTTATGTCTCGTAAAGGAATGGATATTCATATTTAGCGCAAAGAAAGAAAAAGGTCACTGATTTTTATAAGCTAAGAAATTATGTAAACACTCGTTCAGGTGTCGTTCGCATTTTTGTTTTTTGCTCCTTTCGTTTTTAGTTCCACGCGATAGAATTCTTAGTTTAATATAAGCTGAAGCTTTAGAAATTAAAACAAAAACATTTAGACGTGTTTGCGTGTATTTTCCATTAAAAATAAATTAAATTTAAGCCTTTTATTTTTTTCCCGGAAATCCAGGCGGGAGGGGGGGTCTTCCACCTTGGAAATCCAGTTGGGAGGGGGGGTCTTGTGCTTCAGGAAATCCAGGTGAGAGGGGGGGTTAAAAAAGGACCCCATCCGTCGGGGGGGTGTGGATTTTTTCTGGAATAACCCAATGACCAGAAATACATCTGCAGTCGCAGGCTATACGCATTGCCAGAGATCAAAAAAGTGATTTACATGGCATGTCATGTCAATCATTGCCGAAAATAAACTGCATGCTCATAACAAGACCCATCTGCGTACAATGAAAGTTTACAACACCCAACCATCGCAGTTTTGCTAATTAAGATTCTTATTTTTTTTTCAATTACTCCGTAGTGTTCACTTGTTCGAAAGTAATCAATGCTTTCAAGCAATAGAGTTCGGGACTGACACGTTTCAGAAAAGCTCTAAATTTAATCTTTCCTAAACATGCATGGCTTCGATCATGCAATGATTCTTAGTCCCAGTTTCCATGGTCTCCGCTCAGAATGCCTGGCACAATGGCCCCCCATTTGTGTACAAAATATTACGAAAAACAGCCAGGTTGCAGATTATGAGTCTCGCTGCTTACACAAGGGAGACTAATAAAGCATTAAGACATAATAAAGCATGCCAAGTTAATGGCTGCATACTTTAAAATATGCATATTGCACATCCAGCATACTTATGCACATACATGAATTTTCAATGAATTTGTTAATAATAGTTAATGCTGGTTCTAATCATGATCTGTAAAGCTACGTGCTAAGTGTGTTCTACAAATACAATGTTAAATTTTTCTTTTCCAGTGTGTTTAACTGTTTTTATCTTAACCCTGGAACAGGAGGAGAACAGCAGGAGAGCATTGGTTAAGTGTTATTTCATATTAGTGCAGGCAGGTACCCAGAAAATGCAACTTTCATGCATGTCTGGGTAGAAACCACCAAGCAAAAGATAAATTATTATAAGGAAATGAATGATAAAGAAAATTTAACTAAGGTCGCATTCCTTTTTCCTTTTTGGATTTTCTCACGACCATAAAACTATAGTGTCCAATGTGTGTGTGTGTGTGCACAGTATGTCTCAGCACTTGCATAGAATTCATAATTGTCTTCTGAATTTTCTTGAATCAAATTCCAGATAATTTTAAGTTGACGAGTCCCAGTATGAACCACCACTAGTTATAGAGCAACCTTTCTTTCCATTTCTGGACGAGTAGACGCTTAATTTAGCGGAAAGAAATAAAAAACGGTGTGTTGAAATTGAGAAGAAGATCGCAGAATACAGCTACTGTACCCTGTGTGGATCAATCTTATTTCAGATTTTTGTTCCACTGTAGTATGAAAATCCAAACAATCTAGATTGTCTAAATCCGAAAAAATTTTGGCTAGAAGGAAATTGCAACCTAAAATATAGGTTTTTAAGTTTATAATTCCTTACCAGTTAAATTTTCCATAACTTGTAAAGTACTTCAACTAATACCAGTGTCCATTATATTGAACATTACTAAAAAGGCAAAAGAAAGCAAAAATCACCTAAATTGCAATCCAAAACCTATGCATAAAAGCAGGGTGTTAAGAAAGTCATTTTTACAGCTTGCCATTCGCTGGGCAAGCTATACTTAGTATGCACTGAGCCTGAAAGTCATTTCAACTTGCCCTAAAAAAAAGTTTTTTTATGAACGGGATTGATTATAGTTCTTCTGTGATCTGAACTTCACTTGCCAGTTGGGCAAGTAAAAACAGAATTCAGCAGTCCGATTGCAAAATCCACTAGCTCAGGGCTATTGGAAACTGCTTTCTTTGCACGCTGAAAAGGCAGGTATTCATTTTTTTTTTGACATTGAACTATCTAAAATTTTATTTTCCAGTTGCATTCACATACTTTTTAGCTCATTGGTCAAGCAGAGGCTTTTTATTGAAAATGAATAATGTGCAGTTTATTGGCCCAGTCAGGCTATACAAAGGCTGTGGAAGAAACACAGTAACTGTCTTTACTCGATTAAATGCCATTACCTCAAATAATAAAACGTTACCCTTCCATTGAATATGGCAAATGGAAGCAAAACTATCAATAAAACTATGCCACACTCAAACAAACACAGATGTACAGTTAAACCCTATGTAAAATGCAACTACTGAAACTAGGGCCACTCGGACAAAGTCGACCAATCAGATTACAGGAAAACACAAGCTGTTTTTTTTTCATCTACCAGCAGTTTCTTCACTACCATTGCCGCACTTTGGAGTAGCATGTCCAAGTTATAACTAACATTTCCCCTTTTCGCCTCCGTCACTTACTCTCTCTTACTAACGGACCTCTCAGGAAACATGGGCGTGCTTTCTTCGGCGGGTTCAAAAAGTCACATCTGAAGGTTGTGATTGGTTGATTTTGATCAGGTTGTTTAATTCGTTTCATGGTAATTATGACTGACAACTTACTTTCTTGGAATGTATTTTTATTTTCTTGTAAATTATCTGATTGGTCAACATTGCCTAGGTAGCCCCAGTTATAGTAGTCGCACTGTAAGCAGCCAACCTTGGGGTGATGGCAAGTTGCCATTTAATAGAGTTCGGTGGCTTAACAGAGGTTCGTCAGAAATTAGCATACTGGTAATCATTAGCAAAAAGACCAACCTATTCTGAAACAAACACTTTTAGAGCCTTCTGACAAGTTTCACATCAATGATAGCTATAATACAGAACAAAAAAAGCAGACTGTTAAACAAGCAAAGTCTCCACTTCAGCCCATGGGACCCCCCTCTACCCCCCCCCCTCCCGTATCACATTGATTAGATACATTTCCAAAAATACACCGTGTTGGTGTCAGCAGAGTCTCCTTTTGTCTTCTTGATTGACGAGGAAAAAGTCCACTGTACCTAATGCGCAGCTATTCGCAAATGTATCCTAGTAACAAGCAGTACTTGTACATACTCAATAGTGCCATAAGATAGGGTCACAAATATCAAAAGTCAGCCACATAAAAAAAAAAACACAAAGGACACTAAACAATGTAGAAGAAAAACAAGAAGACGACCTTGGTGTTAAACTACGAGTATTAAATATCTGATTTAAGAAGCAGTTTAGCTACCATCATTATACAGGAGCTTGATAATTCTAAATTTTTAGCCATGGTTTACTCTTTATTCCAGAGCTTTGCTGTCTTGTACAAGTCCAAGTTCTAGCAAAACTCCAAATTCGGAAGAAAAAGGCAT